TGCGTGTTCGCACATTTATTATTGATGAGATGCGTCTCTTTGTTATGAGAACATGATCAATTTGATTTGTCCTGGTTGTTTCTGAAACCTTCCAGGTACCTTTATAAATGTCCTTTCTTTAGAAGTCTGTGCTCTTCATTGCAATGGCGTTAACCATTTGGCACAGTTACTTTCTGTTCAGACTTGTTTCATCATGCAGAGAGAATTTTCCAGCTACTTCTGTTGTGTATGATTCTTTACTTATCCTTGCATTAAAGTCGCCCACTACCATCAGCAAATCATATTGCCACGCATACCTTCTCCAGTTTATCATAGAAAACGTCCTTTTTGTTATCATCACTTTCTTCTGTGGACGCACACACTTACAATAGTTAAATTATTAATCTTTCGTTTAGCCGAATGATACTTATTCTCTTATTTACCGGGATGAAGTAGACCTTCTAATCGTACTAAAGACATGGAAACCCGTTACATAATCTGCCTCATCTGGTCTTCCACTGTGGAATATTGAAAAATTTTCCATATCTACTTGTCATTGACTTTTCTACCTAATTACCTGGAGTGCCACAATATCCTATATTTTAGCACTTTACCTCCAATCTCCATAATCTTTCTAGACTGTAGTATGATTCTTACGTTTCATGTACCTATCCTTAAATCATTGTCCTTTTTTTCATTGCTGGAGTCGTCTACTGGCGTCTGTCCTAACATTCTGAGGCTGTTTAGATTTCGTAACTGTTTTGTTTCTACAGGTTGAGGTTGTTGGCCTCATGCCTCCGCCCACCATCCGTTAAAACTTCCTTAAATACCCAGTTAAATAACTACGTTTTTCAAAGTAGCTTCATGAACCCTTCTGTAACCGTCATCCACAAAGTTCAGTTTGCTCTGGCAAGCTAGAGATAGCAAAAAGTTCCTTTTTACGTTTTTTATGGCTTGTTTTAGTGTTATAAACAATATTCCTTTAGTATCTGCAGATTTAATAATCACATCATTGGTCGGGAGTTAAAATGTATTGGTGTTACTTTGAAAAACTTCTTTATTAAATGTTAAATTTCAAAACCATCAACACACACTAGAAATATAAAAAAAACTTTATAACACTACGCTTAAACCTGCTCTCTAAATGTTAGATTAATACGTGCGCTTAATAAAATTGCGTCTATTTGACTCCATGTAACACGTTAATTGTTAAAAGAAAGTTTATAGGATATATGGCTTTTAGAAAAAAATTGCTCTTAGAAATTTTGTTCAGAATTAAAAGTAGAACATGGTTTCCTGACGGTTTAGTAGTAATTGCTGTATATCAAGTCCCAAAATTTTATCTCTTAGTCGCTTAAAAAAAGGTTGTAGCCTTGGCCACTTTTGACCAAAATAATAAAATTTCGAGACCGTTTACGATAAATCGAAACAGATACACAACATTTTTTGGACAACCGCATGAAATCCATAAATTGATGGCATAATAAAATTAAACTTTTTAATTTTTATCGTCCGTAGAGAGACAGTTTAATTTATAAGCATTCCTTATAACAAAACTGAAAAAAAGTGATTTTTCAAGAATATCTCGATTCTTTTATCGATACAGCTAGCAACTTTGGTTTATTCCTTATTATGATGTGGAAAAATTACGAATAACTTAATATTATTTGTGTAAATTAATTAATATAGAGAAAGGGCTTAAATTTAAATACACATTTACATGAATAAACTGTTATTAATATATGTATTTTTAGAAACCTATTAGTATTGGAAATGCATTTAGTGTAAAAACGTTTCTTTTTAGCAATTATCCCTTTCATAAAAAAAGTTAAAAAAATGCAGCCAGTTCGCAGTACAATCTGAACCTCCCAAAACTCCTATAAATAAACGATAAACACATAAATTACAGGTTTACGCGAAATACTAAAACGTGGTAATAAATCTCTAAATTTCTTACACTTTCTGCTGTATCAGCCGCCTAATACTATTACTAACTTTTCGGACCTTTCGATAAGGAAACTTGGTTTACAACACGTCAAATTGCCGGTCTGGATGCCAAAAATAAAGTAAAATTCTCTGTAAATACTGTATAAACTTGACATTAGTTGCTCCTAGTGATTCATAGTATAATTGTGTCAAAAGTGTATTCTTTTACACTTAAAAAACAAAAAAAAATGATCACAAAATGATTACAAATAAACTAATAAAATTATATCCCCTATTTTGAGCAATAAATTTCGTAGCGATCACCATAGAAAATATACAGAATGTCGCAAATACATTGTGTAAAATTGCATCAGTATGTTTTCTGTCGGATTTAAACTAAAAAGCCTAATAAACGTGGACCCGGAAATAGACCAAATTTTTAGATATTTAATGTTTTAGTTTCGTAAGTTGACTTATCGTTAACATGGTGTATGCTAATGAGTTAAATATAAGTCTTAAATAATTAACATGATTTACATAAATATATTATGGGTATTGATTAAACTGTTTGATTATAGCTGTTTGATGACCTCCATTGTAACCGCTCGTTATTGTATCTCAAATTAATAATGTATTGAAACTATCATGATTCATATGGCTATCATAGCAAGTATATAAATAAGTATACCAAAAATACATCATACATCATCAAATTAATTTTAAAAAAAGATAACACCTTTTACGTTAGAAGTTAGTTATATTTATTAAAGCACGAGAGTGTGCTTTAAAGCGTTCTAGGAAAACGATAAACTTGTACGTTTTTATTATTATAAGAGGTTATGTAGTTTTCTTACGGGTCCTATTCGTCGTGAGAAAAGAGATTTTATTGAACGAAGCTGTATTTTGATTTACCTCCCCACGCGGCTGACTCTGATAGTATCAACTTATTTTTTGTAAATTTGTAGCTGATGTTATTAAGCCAGAATCCTCATTTTTCCTCACATTTCTCTAAATATGGTAAGGTTGTGTTGACCGTCGTATATTGAATGTTTTCTGTTATATTTTTAACATTTGTTTGCGAATGTTGGTTTATCCTAAAGCATGGAAATGTGGTGTGGTGACTCTTCTTCCTAAAATTAAACTTTACCATTCTTCAGGTTTTGTCTAAAGTGTTGGAGAATATTATGGCGAATCAATTAAGATCTTTTAATATACTACCTGACAAATAATCTGGTTTAAGTAGGCAGTATAGCTGTTCCAAAGTGCTTCTTGACTTAACTGATGATATATATAGAGGTCTTGATGCTGATAGATCTACTATGCTTGTGTTATTGGATCACGGCATTTTATTGGCTAATCTTAAATTTGTTGGTGTGTCTGATTGTGCTGTTTCTTTGTTTAGAAGTTATCTATCTGAAAAAACGCAAGTGGTTAAAGTGAAGTCCTTGTATTCTGACTCTACTAAATTGATTGTTGGTGTTCCGTGGGATCTATCCTTGGTCCTATCTTATTTGCAATGTATACCAGCAATTTGTTGTCAAAGTTAAAGTATTGTTCTTATCATCTTTATGCTTATGATTCCTAACTTTATTTCGATTTTCTGGCTTGTGATAAAATAACGAAGGATTTATGTCACTTATGACATGCTCTTTTGGTCAACCCTGACAAGATTCAATGTATTTTGTTAACTAAAAGCGGTAGTTTATTTATTAATAAAGATGATATTTATATTAAGATGCTTGGAGTATAGTTAAAACTAACGAATTCAGAGTTTGGGTCTTGTTATTCATCTTCAATACGCTTGCTTTTGGTAAAAATAATCACCATTCCTCCTGAAATACTCTGCAGTAGGAAAAGCATGAAAAGGTTTACCGATTAAGACCTAAATAATCCTATATAAACAACAAAAGTCAATTTTACAATGATTTTTGCAGAATGACAAATTGCCATGGCTCTTTATCAAAAAAAAACTTCTTTATTTTGTTCCGAAGATTCTTCATAAGCAGAAATTTTGGTGTTGAGATCCAGGATAGACATCTCTATTGTTTTATTCAGGAAGCTATACTTCAGGCTTGGTATTTTCTATACTGTTCCTTGTTAATTACATCCAGGTTACAAGATACCTCCTTGAACAATTAATCAGATATATATATTTTGTACTTCTGTCTCCGCTTCTTCGAACAATTAGTTCTAAACCGTCTTCGATTACAACCGATCCATGTATTTATATTTTGAGTAATATCGTTAATATGAAATTATTCGTCGTATTAGTATTGTGTCGTCTCGATATACATTCAAAGATAAGTTTTAATTCTATATTAGTTTATAATCGACACCTGTATATTTACTGTTAGATTTGATCTACAAGAAATCTTCAAGCTACTGTGACATCCTTTCTACAGCCCGTAGATTTTACTTTGATGCCTCAATAAAATACTTTTTTTTTTTTTTCAAAAAAAGATTTAGCCAATGATTAAGAAGAGCAGCTTTAAAAAAAGAGTAGAATAAAAAGTTAGTTTACTGGTTCGATATACCCACCTTACTGGTGATATAAAATCTTACGTCTCATTCATATCTTTTATTACAGATGTGTTGATAAAACTATTTTCTTGAAAGTTGTTAGAACAGTTTAAAAATGCGTATTAATATGTTAAAACACTTTACCAATTTGTATTTATATTGTTACAAGAAAGCAAACAATTCACTAACAACAAGAATTTATAACGAGTTGTAATACTACCGGTGGTTTTATTTAAAAACATGGTGCTTTCGACCCTTTCGACAAATTAAAATGTAAAAAAGAAGAAAGTTTCAATAAATAAAGCGAATAGTTCTACAAACGCAAAGTTTCAATATTTAAAAACTACTTTCGAAAATCGAAGTTGGATGCAAATTTGTTTGTTGACCTCTGCAACGGATTATATTGCATTTTAATTTCGATTTTCACTTTGCCAGCAAAAAAAACCCAAAAGAATTAAATATAATTCCTTTTCAACGACTTTTTAGTTAGATGATCTTTGTAATATGTAATATTTACAGTTTTACAGAAATCATAAAGATCTTGTTACTAACATTATAATTTTTTTGTCCTTTAGAAAATGGCTACAAGTGAACAATTTTCATTACGATGGACAAATTTCCATTCGAACATAACGGCTGGTTTTCACGATTTATTAGAAGCAAATGATATGGTGGACGTGACACTAGCCGTTGAAGGACACTTTCTGCAGGCACACAAAATCGTCCTATCAATATGTAGTCCGTATTTTAAACAATTATTCAGAATCAATCCGTGTAAGCATCCAATCGTAATACTCAAGGACGTTTCGTTTGGTAATATGAAGGACATTTTGGAATTTATGTATTTGGGTGAAGTGAACGTGTTAAGGGAGAATTTATCGGCGTTTCTTAGGACTGCGGAACTGTTACAAGTTAAGGGATTAACGGGTGATGATTCTGTAAGTATAAAAAATGTGTACAAAAACATTTATTTTTTTCAATTAAAAAAAATAGAATGTGAAAGTTTGTAGTGAAGTTGATGAATAATAATTATTATGAAATGATTTTTAAAATAAACTGGTAATGAATAATAATCCTGAGAAAATAAGTTCGAAAAGACTCTGTCCTTTCTCTTTATAATTTTGAAGACTTAAAACGGTTTATTTACGTAAGAGATTATTGTTTAACTGAACGAAAAGTTTACATTGTTATCAATGAGATTGTTAGGTATAGTGTAAAGTAAACTAGGGTCTTATCGCGTTGAAATGACGATAATTAAACTTAACTAATATTAAATATCATGAAGAGAAAGATATAATTGATTTATAATTAATTTTAAACTGTATGTAATTAATAATTAATCATTTGTCTTTGATAATTAGACATGGTTTTAATTAATTTTGAAAGTAATTAACAGCTTTTAATCGTCATTTGTTGATAATCACAAGAAAGTTGTTAGTCATTTGTTAGAAATTTCAATATTTTCTGGTATTTTTTCTAAATGAATCACAAGAATTTTATCAAAAAAAAATTAAAACCTTTCAAACAAATTTATCAAATTCTTTGTTGAATGTTTAACAATGGTTGATTACAAGTCAAATTCTTTATTTAGTACAGTTTTAGATAAATTTCTCATTCCAAGTTATTTTAATCATTAACTGTTTAAAGATATTAAATGTTTTCCTGGGTTTTAATTTCAATTAGCATCATTTCCTTAATAAAGTAACCTTACTAACATTATAGAGTATATTCCTAATAAATCTATCTTAATTTGAGTATGTTGAACTCGTGCTGATTGCCGTTTTCTATTATTAGGTTTTGATATTTTGCGTAACGAAATCATGCAGATTTAAATTTTGAGAATATTGTCATGTTACTACTTCAAGTTATATCAAAAATTGATGTCAACTCTGCTTTGAAAGTTTCCTAACAATAAAATAAACAATTCTCTTTTGTATTATAAAACGGTGCAAGGTCCTTTTTTACACTAGAAATCTCTTCCGGTCGTATAATACACGGCATCATTCTACTTATTTTCACTTTTGAAAGTTTCAATTTTTCTTCAAAGTATTCAACAGATCCTGCGTTAACAGATGTGGTTTTTTCTTGGAAGTAAAACAACTGTAATTTGGAATTTTAGAAACATGTAACTACTAAGACGATTTCGAAGTTTGCTAAATCTGGGTGTAAATACGAAATGTATCGGAATGTTGAAATGGAAATATAGCGATAATCAAAAATTGATCACATGCCAAATTATTTCTTAAAATAATTGTAAATGGTGTTCAATTGCTTAATGCTAAAAAATCCATTCGAGCTAAAACTCTGACATTAATATTCATAAGGGATTTTAAGACTTTTCTCAGTTTTCCTTCAAAGGTTCTCTCTTGTACAAAATATAGAGAAACACTAAATTAACTTTGATTTATCTTGAGAACGTAATTGTTATAAATATACCAGAAGTCATCGATTACTATCGTACACAAATGTCCACTGTCAACTTTGATAAGTGATCACATAAAGTTGCCTATAGACAATAACTGATAAAGAATTGCAACACAAAATATTCATGCTGCTCTATATTTAGCTGATTATGCCTATTATAATGGATTACCTGTTTGTCCTCCTTTCATTACTTAAAGTCCGAAAAGGCCATTGAGCTTACGTGAGCAAAGAAATAACAATATAACTTTAATACACTACACAGGTAAAATACTTAGAATTAATAAATAACATAGTAAAAATTCAGAAAGATGTAAATTTCTGCACATTCACATGTAACTTAACTTTTTCAGTAGATCTTGATTCTTAACCATTATTCTGACACGAATAGAAATACAGGAAATACAAGTACTATATAGATTTATTGTGTATAGTTAAATACAGTTAGCATGAAAACTTAAAAACTTTTTAATTCCGTCAAAACAAAATGAGTAAAACATTTACGGCAAATAACGTTGATCTGTCTTGTTGAAAAAGATCTGGAGCGACCACTTGTAAATTGCAAAATAGGTTCTGAAGTAGTAGAACTTAATATTGGTCAGCCCACTATCTACAAATCAATTGATCCATTCTGCATTTGATTGTTAGTCTTCCACTAATGTAGGTACATCGAATTTCATCCATTTTGCAATTCAATCTACTACAATTTATGATTTCATAATAACTATTATTTAAATTTAACATTTGTGGAATTTCTGATCAATCAGAAGCAAATACCTTGAAATGTCGGATACAGATTGTAAAATTATGTGGATATAATTGCTGGAAGTAGTAAACTGGTTGATATCGAACTATAGTTAGTACCGTACTTTTTTACAGCCATATATTAATTGTGTTACACTGACATATTCTTCTTTTATAGATTATGAATTCACAACGTGATAACAAGGCGATTTAAGAATTAATCGCATGATTTTAAGTTTTTTAGTTGTTTCTTCAGTTGCAAAAAATCTTAAACAAATAACTTACCGATATTGCTTTATTTGATTTATATGTAAGATAATTACATGTCAAGTTGTTATTCTGTATTTGATCAGCATAGGCACAAGATTGAAAATTTTTTCCATGAACTATATCTGTTGTTGCTTTAATAAAATGTTTAATAAATACCTACTTCCTTCCTGGAACTGTCATTCATAAGGAGCATTGTGAAATCGGTTAATCTCCTTCATTTCTATACTATTCCAGCGCAACGCTCGTTTTTTATTATACTTAAACCTTTAGGTATAATAAAAATTTAGAAAACAAGATCGATTTGTAAAGATTCTTAATCTTTTAACTTTTAATCTTTTGGTTTATCTTTCTTCTATTCGTTTCTTTGCATATCCATCCTACGTTGCGTGTCAAAATATTACAAATTTATTCGTTTTTCATTCTTACATTGTACTAAACAGCGATCTTTTATTGTTGAAAATATCTTAACGTACAATGTCTCTTCGAAACGATTCCTTGGTAATGGACTTCAACGTTTTAACTTTTTTTAAATAAACACCAAATCCAGACTCAGATCACTCTCTATATTAAGACAAATATGGAGATGGTGCAGCCAAGGTCACAAAAATTCTAAACAGAATTATATAGTCTAATTCTTATTTAATCAGCTGATATTGTCATATTTTATAAACTAATTATGACAAAATGGCTTAAATAATGGATGTTCAGTTATACGATGTTGAAAATAACAGTCGCAAAGCAGACTTTTACATAATAACTATGCCAAATTTACAATGTTTATAAAAAATAGGCTATAGGAATCGCAGTTACTATCAGATATTGTTTTGAAATAAGGATGTATTTGTTATCCACCGTTATGAAAACTTTGAGAAATAAACGACATCTTTGAATTCAGCATACTTAAATTATACATGCCATTCAGGTGTTAAAAAAGTTAGTCCTATACATATAACAATTAGTTGTAAATGTACTGAATGAATCATTTATTTTTTCATATTTTTACTGATTTTAACACCCATCATTTTTATAGGATATTAAAAACAATTTTAAAACTTTCCTTTTTCTTTACCATAACATTTACAGCATTTTCTTTATAAAAATACTTGACTTATTATTCATTAAAATATTTTTATTAATTAATTAGAGTGATACTTCATCCAAGAAAGATGACAAAACGGACTCTATCTGTGATAACGACGATGATGATCAGGACTACACTCAATTAATGGAGTCCGATAGCGCCGTCTTGATGCCCCAATATCCGCCCGAAGTTCCCTCGCCGCCCCAACAAAAGGCGATAGTTCCTCCCTCAAACGTGAAACGACTTTTTAAACAAACGCCCACGACCGCCACCAACATTTCATCAACCGCCTCCGTCGCCACCTCAAATAACAACAGCAGTTTTAAGAAGTTTAAACAAGATGCGACGAGCACGCCTATTCCGCTTAAAATGTCCTCCTCGTTAACCGACGTCAATGATGCTTGTCAATTAACAAACGATGAAGAAACGGAATACATTGAAATGCCTGCGAAAATGGATCAACCGCAATGTTATGAAAAAGATACAGGGGTGAATATTAAAAAGGAACCTCTTTATGATTCGAGTGCTTCATTTAATAACTCGATGGGGGACGGTAGTTTACAAGATCATGGTAAGTTTATTTGTTTATTTTAGAATTTGGTAGAAAATGATTTTTTTACTTTTATTTGTTGTTGTTTGCATTTGTAGCTTATTAGAATTTATTAGAGATTTACTGCATTTTGTGGCTTATTTTGCTTCTTAAAACAAATATTTTCACTTTTATTTAACCATTATTTTTATTACACAAAATTATATATACATGTATATTTTTTTAAAGAAGTTATTTGCTTCTTATTGTATGATTCGGTTTTTATATTCTGTTTTGTTTTTGTTGCGGTGTAAATAGTGCCATAATTATTATTTTTTTTTTCGTTGCATGGTAAGTACTAATTCACTAATTTATAGGTTGTTAAAAAAGAGTGTTGTGAGTGTGATTTTTACAGCGAGCTGCGTCGCATGCGGTAAATTGATGCGTAAGAGGAGCATCAAACGGCACATGTACGACGTTCACTTTCCAAATCAACAGATGCCCTGTGACATCTGTCATAAACTGTTTAAAACCGCTAACAGTCTTTCAACCCATCTAATTACAATACACAAACGTATCAAGAATGGCCAACGACCTAAATCGAGTATACGACATATTGCATGAGTTCAAGAGTGATTTATAGTTAAGTTTCATTAATATGCAAATTTAAATGACTTATTTTATTTAAAGGTTACTAAATGTTCCATTTCTAATTTTTTAAATATACTTAGTGTATTTTGGATTGTTTTGTTGAATATTAAAGATGTACTATTATGAAATCTTTAAAGATATAGGTACAGAGGAATTTCTCTAATTCGAACTTCAATTACAGTATTCTAGTTTATATAGAATTTTTTATCTCTTTGAGGGTCAGTTTAAAAACAAACTAAAAAAACTAAGCACAATCAAAGGAAAATACAAAAAATCTCATGTAAATGTCTGAATAATTTACAAATTGCCAAATGCAAATTTTATGGGGGAAAACAAACAAAACTCTTAAGTTATATTGCTGATAATGATTTTCATGAATTGTTAGGTTTAATACTTACATTCCTTAATTCTTAATTTAGTAAATCATACAAATACCATTGAATTTAGCAAATATAATTTTGTATTAAACAACAAAGCACCAAGGATGTTTTTAGAAGATTCAGATTGTGAAGCTAATCAAACGAAAATTGAAAGATAACTTCATATTGGCGAGTAACATAGTTCTTGTAAAAAACTAAATGAAAAAGTAATTTAAATAAAAATTTGAAAACAGAAAATTGAAAATAGTTCCCAAACTGGAAGAGATATTACAGCGTGACATGTAACTTCTCCATTTTAATGTAGATATAATACTAAAATTGCATTCTCACATCTGGTAATGCAAATAAGTCTGCTGAGATGTGATGACAATACTTGATAGAAATAACTGTAATATCTATTTTCATTTATATTTCAATTCATCTAATTAATAAATCTGTGAGATTAATTCCTATTATTTTTAATAGGCTTATTAGTTATTGGACAAATCTTACAGTTACATAAGTAAAGCTACTTTACTCTATCTTCCTGAGGCGTTCCGTTCTTGTCCCCACTACACCTTATTTCATTACCTAACTTCAAAATTGCTTGTATAAATAATTTCTTAACTCCATCTTAAATCTTTCACGAAATGGTTCTAATTTTTCATCAGTCATTATGTATTCTCCTATTACATTTCATTTTTACATATTTTCCTGTAATTTTGAAAGAAGACACCTTAGCAGAAACGAAAAAACTCTTCCTGGACACACAGGAGATGAACAGACCCATTCCTAAACCATCTTTTGACCATAAATCATGTATATTTAGATACGCTGATTTCATTACTCCAGTGTATATGTTAGTATACATTACAATCAAATCCAATATATTATTAGTGATCATGCAATTCCAAGTATCTACTGACGTTAAAGAATTTTTTGCCGTCTCCTCTAGGCCCAGGTATTCTCATATAACTCTTAGTCCTTACATTTTTGGGAAAAACATCTCTTTTGTCGTCGTCTGACTCGTCGGTGACGAAACTTTAATCTTGTTCGCTGGCTTTGTCGTGATCACTTTGAATCATACAGTAATTTGTTCATATTTTATCATCCATTATAGAAGTTTGAATTAGAAAATCCACTGTATATTAGAATTCAATGGTTTTGTTTGGACATTTACTATATCTTACTACCGCATAGTAAAAGTAAAATGCAAAAAGAATATATAAAATATTAAAAAAGTTATTCAACTCCAATATATTTTCACAAACGAACCCAATAGAAAACAATCAGATTTGTCTGTTATTGACATCAACAGGGACTTCGAGCCAATTATAACAATTATTTCTTTAAGTGTTATTTACGCTACACCGCATGAATTTACTAAATATTTTTAATTTTGAAGTAACATTTTTAACAAAAATGCAAATTTTATATTTGACAGAGTATTCTACTAGTTAATCAAAATAATTTTTGGAAAACCGACAAGATTCCTAATGATGGCGAATTTACCGAAACCGGCGATTGAAATTTATAAAAAAATTTTAATATAAATATTTTTAAATATAGTGATAAAGCATAAGAATATAAAATTAAGTTACATACATTTATATTAAATTTTAAGTTAAACAAAATGTATTTTTAAGATTAGAAATGGAATCATTTTAAATTTGGGTTTACACATTTCAAAAACCTAAAACATTTTTCAACCCTTTGAACATGTTTATTATTTTAAAGCATTACAAAAATTAATTATTATGCAGGGTAAATTCGGAGATCTTAAAATATTTTGAAAATGAGCTCTCTAAGTTAGCTCCTTTTATTTTAGTAATCTAAGTTTTATCTTATAATTGTTTGTACTTTTTAAATGTTTGAAGTCTTTAATTTTCTGTTAAACAATAGAACGCTTTCATGTTTGGCTATAATTATTGATGGTAATATTTCAGAGGTATTGAATGAAGATTTTTATTTTGTATACTTTCCATAAACGAATTATAAGAATTTCTTAAAGTATTTCCTTCACACTTTATCTTATACCTGGCTAAAAATTCATTTCTTTGTTATTTGTATACAGTTGAATGTGATACCAGGCAAACCCAAGTTAAACCATACTATGGATAATTAATCTATATACAAAAGCTTGTCTACCTTCTGTATGAACATTATAATGATATAATGTAAATCTGTGTGCCTAAAAGTGACCTGCTACATCAAGAGATGATGTGGGAATACATAAAAAACAATGTGAATATTTGAATATTTTCAAAAATATGAAAATGTCAATACAATGAAAAGAAAAGGTTCTAAGTTACATAAGGACATAAACGAAGATGCAGCATAGAAATCATCCAAAGATGAAAAGAATAGTAAATCAATTTACTCAACCCAACCCAAAATATCCGTTTTGCACTAACTGCCTATATACAGGATGATTCAAAAAACCGCTGACAGACTTCTAGGACAGGTAATACATCAAAAATTAAGATGAAAAGTCTTGATATACATGGTGTCGCAAATGCCTCCTTAACGATATATAGCGGGACAAAGTTTCTTTAAAATTAAACATTATCTGCAATAAAAAGCCCTTTTTTAAAAATATTTTCAACGCCACTGCTAATTTTGTCAAATGGGCAGTATTTTCGTGTAAAGTGATCAATCATCTATCAATTGGTCTCTTACAAAACATTGATTAAAGCAACAGTTTTTGGTTGGATTAACACATTTTCTACAAACTTGTTTTTCTTAAAAACTATTGCTTTTATTAAAGTTTTGTAACAGACCAATTGATAGATAATTGATCACTTTACACGAAAATACTGCCCGTTTGACAAAATTAGTAATGGCATAGACAATATTTTTAAAAAAGGGCTTTTTATTGCAGATAATTTTTAATTTTAAAGTAACTTTGACCCGCTATATCTCGTTAAGGAGGCATTTGCGACCCCATGTATATTAAGACTTTTCATCTTAATTTTTGATGTATTACCTGCCCTAGAAGTCTGTCAGCGGTTTTTTGAATCATCCTGTATATTTCATATCAGTAATTTAAACAACAAAATATTATGATAAACATCCTTACTGAAATCATAAAAAATTAAGGCACTTCCAATAAGATTCTCTCGATCGAAATACTAGCCAAGAAATAGTTGTCTGGCGTAATACTGAAAGTTAACAGTTGTTTTCATGTATGTTAGGAAAAATGTTGTTGTGATAATTAAGTTGATTAAAAACACATAGAGACAAAACGTAGCTAAAATCAGAGCGTAAATAGTATAGATCAAAATTGTGTTCCAAAAACTAATAAAATAAAAGAATTATTGAAATACATTTAATTTTGTCATTGATTTGCAAATTATTGCTTTACTGCAATGTTTTGAGTTATTGATTGACAGAAATACCTTCTGCTTGGGGATAAATTTCGAGCACAACCAGGTTCAGGCACACATGATGAATAACGTTCAGATCAGTAGACAAGATAAAATTACCTTTAACTGTAACAAAGAGCCTCACAGACCTTTTGTAATTTTCAGTTTCTTCGAATTAGAATTCCCTTCCTATTATTACTTTATAAAGTCTAAAAAAACTAATATAAGTTTAAATCTCATTTTGAAGAAGATTGAAAATAACACTAGACCAATTTATCCCCTTCATAGTGTTTGTTTATCAATTTTATTAGTAATTTCTGTCAATGTGTCCCCTCATATGTAGGAGTTTGTGAGGCCAGATGTCCAGGCGTGTTGTATGAAAAAGGAATGTCCATACATAAAAGTTAAACTTTTCCAATAAATTTAATATTTGATCTTCATCAAAAGCTCCAACATTTAATAATAGATTCTCCTATCTTTGATGGATGACTTGTGTTTCGTAGGTTAATTCAACAAGAAAATGTTTCCAGATATCCTATAGAATTTCTCAGGTCCCAACTTGCTTTTTCATAGTAACATTGTGTGTTCAGCTTCCTAATTAGTTTGAACTGTATCTGAATCTGTATCAGATTCAAAAGTATTGATCTTATCATTACAGTATAGAAAT